CAGACCGTAACCACCGACTTCCAGAAGATTTTCCCCATGGGCCAGAGGCTCTACATCGGTCTGGCCGGGCTGGCCACGGACGTGCAGACCGTGTAAGTGAGGGCCCGATAGGGCTGGGGATTTGGGCTAGTGGGAAATAATGGGAATTAACGGTGCCGGTGCTGCTGTGCCTGGTTCTGCTGCTGGGAGAGGTTTGGAAATATAAAGCAGCATGATTGGGATCACGTCGCTGCTGGAGTTGGGATTTCACTGCTAGAGTTGGGATTTTGCGGCTGGAGTTGGGATTTCACTGCAAAAATTCAACTTGCACCGCAGAAACGAAACTTTTGCTGCTAAAACAGAACTTTCACTACTAAAATTCACCTTTCACTGCTAAAATTCAATTTTAACTCCTAAAGTTGAACTCTCACTGTTAAAATTCCACTTTCACCCCTGAAATTCAGCTTTTCCTCTCACAGTTCCAGCTCAGCTGCAGCAGCAGTTGTGTGTGCAGCCTTTGGTGCTGGTGTCTGTTAGCAGCAGAAGCAGCCAGGCCTGGCTGAGGGGAAGCTGCAGGACCCTGCTTTGCTTTAAGCCCAGCTCTGATCCCTTGCAGGGCCCAGAGGCTGAAGTTTAGGCTGAACCTCTACGAGCTGAAGGAGGGGAGGCAGATCAAGCCCCAGACCTTCATGAGCATGGTGTCCAACCTGCTCTACGAGAGGAGGTAAAACTGCAAAGCTGCAATATCTGTGTGGTGCCAGGGAGGGCTGAGGGTGCTGGGGTGGCCAGAGGAGCTTGGATCATTTCCTGCTGTCACCACCCCCTCCCTGAGCAGGTTTTTGTTCTCTTGGGGTGACATTTCCTCCCCAAATTCGAACAGAATCAGTTGTCAAAGCAGAACAAACTCCTGCTGCTTCAGGGTGGTCTGCTATGCCAAAACCATTGCAGGGCTCTCCCTGAAAGGAGCTGTGGGATGGTTTCTGTGCCGGGAAAACATTTCTGAGGATGTGGGACTGCACCAGGGCTTGGACTGGGGACAGCTCTGGGGACTGGAGGGAATGGCTGGGTTGGAAATTCAGGGAAGAGAGGGTGAGCTCTGGGAATGGTGATCCCAGAGCTCCAGAGCCGGAGCTCCAGGAGTGTTTGGACACTGCTGCTGGGCACAGGCTGGGATTTTGGGGATTGTCCTGTGCTGGGATGATCCCTGTGGTCCCAGAAGAGCAGGGTGATCCTTGTGGTTCCTCCTGGGCTGTCCCTGGGCTGTCCCTGGGCTGTCCCCAGGGCTGTCCTGAGCCCAGCTGTGTCCCCAGGTTTGGTCCCTACTACACGGAGCCGGTGATCGCGGGGCTGGACCCGCTCAGCCACGAGCCCTTCATCTGCTCCCTAGACCTCATCGGCTGCCCCATGGTCACTGACGACTTCGTGGTCAGTGGCACCTGCTCCGAGCAGATGTATGGGATGTGCGAGTCCCTGTGGGAACCCGACATGGTCAGTGGGGCTGGGGTCACCTGGGATAGCCTGGGATCAGCTGGGATGGCCTGGGGTCGCCTGGGGTCACCTGGGGTCCCCTACCTGGCATCTCCTGGGATCACCTGGGATAGCCTGCAGTCACCTGGGGTCTCCTGGGGTCCATGGATTCAGGAGTTCTCCCTCCTGTGCCCACTGGAGACGCTGAGCTGGGCTTCATTCCAGCTGTGCCTTGTGCGGCCTGAGAGAGGAAGTTTGCAGGGTTTTGGGGGGTTTGGGTGAAATTTCTGGGGGGATGTGCAGCCCAGGTGAAGCCCTGTACTCCCTCTGTGCCCCAGGAGCCCGAGCACCTCTTCGAGACTATCTCGCAGGCCATGCTCAACGCCGTGGACAGAGACGCCATCTCTGGGATGGGCGTGGTGGTGCACGTCATGTGAGTGCTGGGGCTCCTGGGGGCTGGGCACTGCCTTCCCTTCTCTTCCTTCCCTCAGGAATCCCCAAACCCAGGGCCTGGGCACTGTCATCCCTTCCCTCAGGGATCCCCCAAATCCTGCCCCTCCTCAGCTAGGCTCTGTTCCTTCCTAGGGTTTGATTTTGCTGGAGCAGTTCCTTGCTGGAGCCAAGAAATGACTCCTGGAGTTTGAGTCCCTCTGCTCAATTCCCTGGCTGCATTCCCATGGGAATGAGGAGCTCTGCCCCTCATGAATACAGCATTAACTCTCACCTCTGTCACCAGCTGCCTTTGGAAAATCCCATTTTGCCCCTGCAGCAATCCAACCCTGGGAGCTCCCCACAATGAAGGGTTTATTTATTGTTGTCACAATCACCTGAGCTCCTGCCTGTGAACCTGGGACTTCTCAAGGCAGGACAAGCTCTAGGAAGGGTTTAAACCTGGGTTTAGCAGTAAATAATCTCATATTTTTCTCTTTCCAGAGAGAAAGACAAGATCACCACCAGGACCCTGAAAGCTCGCATGGATTAGCCCAGCCCAGCTGCTCTGTGCCACTTGGGACTTATTTTAAAATAAAACTCTGCCCTCAACTTCCCTTTTGGTGCCTTTGAGCAGGGTCAGGATGTCACCCTGGCTGCCAGGATACAGAGGTGGCTCCAGGAGTGTCACCCTTCATCCAGTCCATCCCTTCAGCACCTCCCAAATTGGGATGGAAATACAAATTATCCCAAGCAAGCAGAGGGAAAACCTAACCCTGTCCAGTGACAGGGACACCTTGACTGTCCCAGGGTGCTCCAGCCTGGCCTGGGATACTTCCAGGGATGGATCAGCGACAGCTGCTCTGGGAGTTCCATCCCAGCCCCTCCCAGGGGGGGAATTCCTTCCCAAAATCCCATTAAAACCCTTCCCCTCTCCCAGTTTTCCCCCATCCTGCTTCCCCCCAGGCCTCCTCCAGGAGGAGCAGCTGAGGGTGACCCCTCAAAGAGCACAGCAGGGAGGACCCAGATGTACACAAAGTTTTAATTTCTTTTTTTTTTCTCTGGTTGGAGACTCATCTTGTAACATGCATGCATTTCAAAACAGTAACAGTGTCTCAAACTGCTCCTAGCAAACAGACAAGCACAGAGGACTTCAAATTCCTATTTAAAAAACAGCAGTGAAAAAACCTAGAATGTTCTTTTTTTTAACTTTTAAATACTTTTTTTAGTTTTTTTAGGTTTTTATTTTGTTTAGGTTTTAGATTAAACTTAATTTATTCACATTTTTTTCTTTTCAATTCAGTTGCACTGATTAGCCCTGCCCACCCTCGTGACCTGTGTGTGGAATCTGCTCTCCACTCCCATTCAGCTGCTTAGGCAGCCCCAGAGCAGCAGAAATTTTGAGTGGTTTCCACTAAAAATGATGTGTCCAGAGCTCTGCCATCCCAGTTATCCATGGGATCCATACCACAGAGCCAGGACAAGGGGCGGGGGCTGAGTGGGACACTTGGAGTGGCTCTGCAGGAAGGGGACATTTGGGAATTTGGGGCTGTGGCCATGCTGGGGACACTCCCCTGGTTTTGGAGGAAAATCCTTCAGCTGGGGGTGAAATTCCAGGTGTAGCTGGAAGGGAGGCCTGGGAAAGGACTGCATAGTAGTCATGGATTGGGAATATCCACCACCACAACCTCCTCACCTCCCTGAGCCTGCCCCGGCTGGGAAAGCAACTCCCAAAATAGCAGTAACAAAAACAAATAAACAAAAAACCATCCGAACAAACAAAAAACTCAAAAAACCCCCCAAAAAACCAAAAAAAAGGAAATAAGACTCAAAGTGGTTCTGATTTCCTTGCTGATTGTGCTGATCCAGATTCCAAGCTGGGACTGTGGGAGTATGGCCTTCCCCCTGCTGCCCTGCTGAACTCTGTCCCCAGTGGGGTGAATTCCATGCCCATGGGATAAATTCCATCCCAGCAGGATGAATTCCACCTCCATAGGATGAATTCTGTCCCAACAGGATCAATTCCATCCCCACAGAAGGAATTCCATCCCCACATGGTGAATTCGGTCCCCATGGGATCACTTCTGTCGCCAGTGGGGTAAATTTTATTCCCACAGGATGAACTCCATCCCCATGGGGTAAATTCCCAATTAATTCCATGATTGTGGCTCAGGATGGAGCCTGGGCCAGGCAGGGATGAGGAGGGACCAAGGGAAGGCTCCCACAGCTCCTGGGGCTGTTCCCCAAATCCCAGCCCTGGGGAGCCCCTGGAACCCCCAGTTCCCAGCCCAGTTCCTAGCCCAGCAGGTCTGCAGTGCATTTATTGCACTCCTGGAGCACAGCTGGCTCTGCCTCCCCTCTCCCACTCTGATTTGGGGGCTGTCCCAGCAGGGAAGATGGGAATTCCCAACTCAAAGCATATTTTGGGGGTTTTAAATCCCTTAGGAATGTGGATCCTGCAGCTCCTCCTGCCTCAGGCACTGCAGAGGGGGAGATGCTGCTCACTGGTTATTTGGAGCTCCACTCGACCAAATTTTGCTTTATTTTGGCCAAAATAAATCCTGAATTCTGCTGCAAATCCTGCCAGTTAAATGTCTTCTGCAGGGTTCATGCTAAGGACAGGGACATCTACATTCAGCAAAAACTAGAATTAAATCCACACTAAAAACAGACAACAAACTAGCATAAACAGTTGTAAAACCAGAACTGAAACGGCTGGGTTTTCCTTTTTTTTTTTTTTTTTGTTTTTTAAATACTTGACTTAAAAAAGTGACCTAAAAAGATTTAAAAGAAAAACCCAACAAAACAAAACAAAGCAAAGCAAAAAGAAAACGAAAGAAACAGAGCGAAAAAGTCCCTTTTAAAAACAAATCAAAATATTTGCAGCTTCACTTCTTGTTCCGGTAATAAAAAATACTGCCTAGAAACAAAATTTAGCATTTTTAAGCTAATGCTACTTCTGCAAATGTAAACAATATACAAAAATGCTTCTGTTAAACGAAGTTACATACCTGGGTAATACATCATTAGGTGAGAAAATTGCATTTAATCACTTTAATACACAATATGGCAACTGGACAGAAGGGGCAGAATTTTTGTGGGATGACCCCAGATTCACCTGGAACAGCCAAATTTAATCCCAGCAGGAGTTTGAAGTAAGAAATTATTTCCTGCTCTCAAATTTTCTCAGAACTCTGTAAGGATTTCTGCAGGAATTCCCTGGGTTTTGATTGGATTCCTTATTCATTATTCTGGAATTCAATAAAGGAGATTTTTTTGCCATCTTCACTCCCCTTTCTCTGGGTTTGCTCTGTGGTGTTCACCCACCTCCTGCTCTCTTCCTCTCCCCTTTTTCTTCTTTTTATTTATTTATGTTTGTTTTTTTTTTTTAATAGATGATTTCAAGATAAAACAACTTCCAAGCTACTCTCCCCAAAAGGAGAAGGGCAAACTTACCAGGTCAAAGTTGCAGATTCAATGCAGATTTTTTTTTTTTAACTGTCAGGAATAAAAAGTGATTGGTGTTTAATTCCTAATTAGCAGTAAACTTAAGTGCTTATTAAGAGAGAAGCAACCAATATAATGCCCACAAAATGAAGCTGATGATGCCTTCCAAGTCCTCCTTTTTTTTTTTTCTTTTAAAGTATTTTTTAGCTGCATTTGGGTCGTGACTTTTCCAGCTCCACAGCTTAAAACCCCTCCAGCCTCCCACACCAAAGGGGCAGCAGAAATTTGTGCCATGCCAAAGGGAAGGACCAAAAATCCTCAAATCCCATCAGGACCCCTAATTTTTCATTTCTCCAAAATTCTATTTACAGTGCACCCTCAGGGGCTTCATTTTCAGCCCCTCCCAAGGTGAGACCTGTGGGGGGATTCACATCAGGGGGGGAAATGGGGAGGGGGTGATGAAGAAATAAAAACCAAAAAATTCCCCCAAACCCCACATTCAGAATCCAGCCAGAGGCAGGGTTAATTTAGGGGAATTACCAGGGTGTGATGAGCACCAGTTATGTCTCAAAAAGGACCAAAATTCCACACAGCAAGAACTGTTACAGCACAGGACAGACACTCCCAACAGCTTATTCCCCAAACAAAGGCATGTGTGAAAAACAGTTCCAAGGCAAATTAAGCAACATGTTTCAACTGCAAAGAGGTTTGTTCAAGACTCTAAATCCTGCTTAAAAAAAGAAAGGAAATTAAGATTAAAAATCCAAACAACAAATCCCAAAACAAAGAACCAAAAGTTTTGTTGTGCAGCAGAGCAAACGAAACCCACAGCGAGGCTGCCGAGCTTGGCTGTGAAAGGGTTAAAGGAGACAAAACAGGACGATTTCAGTCACTCCAATCAGTCCCAAAATCCTTCAGGGGGGGCTAGAAAAGAAATCTGGTGTGAGAGTTCAACCATTTCCACTCCTGGAGGGTCACTTAGGGGGTTGGGAGCAGGATGAGCCCAGCCTCCAGCACTTCCCCCTGGAAGCCAGGCCAATTCCTTCTGTGCAAGTCACATTTTTTAAAAATAAAACACAAAAAAACCAACCCAGCAACATCTGTCAGGACACAGATTCAAGTACCTGTTGCAGGAGAGGTGGGGAAGGAAGACTGAATAATTAGTTAGCTAATTAACACTGGCAGGATTGTGATGGTGACCTCAGAGCCATTCCTGGCTGAGGAAGTGGCCCAAAATCTTAGCCTGGATCTACAGGTACAAAAATGCCTTTTTTAAAATCTTTTTTTTTCTCTTCTTTTAAGAAAATCTTCAGAGCTGGCCAATTAAAATCACCCCATGTCTGAGCACATAATGAGCTGAGGTTGGTCAATGCCTCTCTCAGTTCTCTGCTTGTTTTTAGCTTTCAGGAGTTATACCTTTTTTTTTTTCAGACATCATCTTTGGTAGATGTTCATTTCCCTCACCTTTCTTGTAAATCAAGTGCAGTTACAAAAAAGTGGTTTGTTTTTTTTTCCTTTTCTTTTTCGTTATTTAAATTAACAAAAAAAATATAAAGTGTCCCAGTCTGAATTTACCTAAAGTTCAGCAACTCCTCCTTTTTATCAGTTATATTTTCCATCCTTGAAATGGTGAGCTATTTTCCTTCCAATTCCTACCGAGAGGGAAATAAAGGTTTTTTTTTTTTTTTTTTTTTTTTTCTTTTTCTGGCCAAGCCAGTCCAATAAAACAACAACAACAACAACACAAAAAACAAGGAGTGGTTTGTGAGTCAGGCACTGCTGAATGTGACCCCTTGGGGACAGTGCCACACGTGTCCCAGCCCCTCAGCAGAGAGGAAAAAACGTCACTGGGCAGAAAGAGCAGTGCTGGAACAATGCACTTGGCATGTTTGGAAAAGCCCTCAAATCTGAGATCTGGGCGCTTCTGGAACGCCAAACCCAGAGGTGCAGCGGGCGCAGCGAGGATGAGGATGGGTTTTGTCACACGGTGCCACACGTGCCCCACACGGTGTCACAGGTGTGCCCTGGTGCTGCTGCAGTGTCTGTGCTGTCTCAGGCTGCAGGAGCAGCCCCCAGGCCTGCCTGCAGCCCTGCAGCAGGATGTGCCTCTATGTCAGGATGCTGGAGATGAACTCGTTGAAGCGCTTCGAGTACTGCTCCGGGTTCACCGTGGAGATCTCTGCTCCGGCCTGCAGAGAGACAGCGGGTCAGAGGGTAGCGGGGGGTCAAGGAGGGGTCAGGAAAGGGTCAGAGGGGCAGGGAGGGGGGAGCCGCACAGCCCCTCTGTTGGGGAGGACCCACAGCTAAGGGAAAACCCAGCAGGTCTGGAGAGATCTCCAAGGAAAATGACTTCGGCTCCAGCTGCATGTCCAGTCAGGGCACTGTGAACCTTCATGGCTCACAGCTTTAGGAGCATGAGAGCTCCAAAGGCTGAGTCAGGGAGGGTGAGGAAGGATTTCAGGAGAAAGGTTTTCCAGACAGAGGGGGTCTGAGTACTGGAGCAGTTCCCCAGGGAATGGTCTGGCCTCAGGGCTGCCAGGGTGGGATTTGGAGTCTGTGATGGGTCCCCTCCACCCCAGCACATTCCAGCATTCCACACAAACTCCCCGGGGTGCTGGCTGGGCTGGATTCCTCCTTAAAGATAATTCCAACCTCAGCAACGCCCTGATTCCATGTCCTGCTAGGCTGGGCTTTCCCAAGCCCTGCTGGGAGCCCAGGGGGACTGCCAGGACACAGAGGTGACCCAGGGGTGTCACTCTTCATGCAGTCCATCCCTCCAGCACCTCCCAAATTGGGATGAAAATACAAATTACCCCAATCAAGCAGAGGGAAAACCTAACCCTGAGGCGATATGGAGGGAAGTGTTAACCCCGGGGCTGGAGAATTCCCACCCTGGCAGGAAGATCAGTGCTGGGGACACCTTCCACCCCAGGAGATGCTGCAGAGCAGAAGCCCCAGATCCAAGAGCCCCCCTGGGCCAGGCTCACCCCATGTTTCACTGTCTTGGCAGCGTGTGCAGCTTTCTTCTTGGTGTCGTAGGGTGTGAGGATGTCGATGATGGCCATGAAATAAACCTCCTTCCTGGGGGCACCTGGGAGCACGGCAGGGGCTCAGTCCCCTGGGAACAGCCAATTGCACCCCCTCCTCCAAAAAAACCCCTGGGCACACCCAGCTTCATCCCCCTCCTCCAAAAACACCCCCTTCCAGCCAACACAAGGGACTGCCCAGCAAAGCAGGGACAGTCCTCCTGTCTCCTGGACTCCACCTTAAAGGTCTTTTCCAACCTCAGCAATGAGCTGTTTCCTTGTCCTGCTAGGCTGGGCTTTTCCCAAGGCCACCTGGAAAGCTCAGGGCGGCTGCCAGGACACAGGAATGGCCTCAGGGGTGTCACCCTGGCTGCCAGGACTGAACCACCTCACTTAGCCTGGGACACCTCCCCTTTCCCTGCCCTCCATCCTTCCTCCACAGTTCACTCACATCCTCTCTACCATCCACAGCTCCATCACACCTTCCTTGCCCTCCCCAGCTCCCCACACTCACTGTCATGGCTCTTCATGGCATACACATCCACGGAGGGGTCAAACTCCCCGGGCCCGAAGAACCGGGGGTAGTTGAGGAGGTTGCCGGGGCTGTCGGGGGGGGTCCCATAGGAGGAGATGGGGTTCCCCCCTAGCCCATCATTCTCACACTCCTCATCCTCTGCCCGCTCCTCCACCTCCATCTCCTCCTGTTCGGCCCGGTCCACATCGTGGATGCCCACCAGCAGGCTGTAATCCATGATCTTCAGCTGGGCTAAAAACTGGGAGAGAGGCAGCAGTGAGAGCTGACACCCACACGGGGTGGGGGAGGCTCAGCTCTACCCTGCAGTGCCTCCCTAGGGCTGGCATTGAGAGCTAAACTCTCCTGAGACTTCAGAGGAGCTGCACAGGCCCCCTGCCCTCAGCAGGACAAGGCTGGTGCAGGAGGAGTCATTCTGCAGCCCTGAGCCAGCAGCGAGGATGCACGTGGAAGCAGCTCTCTGGCCACAGAGAGCAGCAGACAACTTTCCCAGGCCTTTCTGGGGAAAGGCTGTGAGAAGATTAGAGAAAAGCATGGTAAATAATTCTTATCTTCACTTGTTCCACCTGTTGTTGTGTAGTGTTGGCTGGGGGTCTGTACAAATAACAAATGGGGTGGAACTGCTATGGAACACCTCTCAAGCTGTTGTATTTTCCAGCATCAGTCTCATTACATGGTTATGACAATGGGAAGATGCCAGCAGGTCACATTTTTGCTAGTAGATAAAGAACTCAATGTAACAACTTACTTCAAAAGTTTTTTGACCAATTACACAAAGCAAAAGCATATTGACAGCAGTTCTATCCAACCACTATAAGCACACATACCCTTGGTTAAATAATACCTGCTTATTTTGAATACAATACCTGCTTGTAAGCCTTCAAACACAATGCACAGAGCTCCATTATTAAACTTAGAACTTCCTAACATCTTGCTAGATAGACTTTTCTGCAGCTCAGGGAGTGAGGGGATGCAGTGAGGGGAGACAGAGCAGAGCCGTCCCCCAGGAAATTACCTCCACATCCCGCTTCAGCTTCTCAAGGAAGTTCTTTTTACTGTCTTCTCCAACATGCAGCTTCTGACCCTCATTCAAGAAGTCGTTGTCCTTGAAGGTTGGGAGGTCCTTGGCCTGCAACAGAAAGCCTGAGGTGAAATTCCCCAGCCCGCTGCCAGGGGAGGGCTGGCACATAGGTGTGGCTGCAAAAGCCCCTGCTCAGTCTGGGCTTTTAGGGTGCCCCAAGTTCAGTGAGGATGGAAAGGGCATCAGGCAGAGCACAGGAAGTGTCAGGGAATCTGTGGGCTCAGCTGGACCTACAGGGAAGCTCGAGGGAGACGTGGAGCAAGTCAGCTTCAAAAACTGCATAGCTGGGCCAGGGATGCTCCAAGCAGCTCCCAGAACTGAAATGAAATTCATGAAATAAATTTTCTTGGTTTCTGACTGCAGGGGGAAAGGGGTGAAGGCTTGGGGAAAAAAAAAAAACCAAACAAATCTTCTCTTCCTAAAGATTTGAGGAAAGCATTCAAGCCACGGTTTTTTGAAGGATCTGCCTGCAGCAGGCCCTAAGGATTCTGGGCATGTGGGAGAACTTAGAGCCCCTTACTGCCTCAGGGTTTCAATTCTTTAGTGACACAGGAGGGTGGGGTGGCTCTGTGAGCTCACATGAACCACCCAACTGCATGGGCCAAGGAGTTATCAGGGGATTTAGGGCAAATGGGAGTTCCTTGGCTGCTGGCTGGCATCATTTAGGGCAGGCTGGAGCAGATTCCAACCATGAAAATCCTACGTGCAGAACATGGACCAGCACAGGGCACTGCTGGGATTTCCACAGGGATTACAAAGCAGCAGCACAGAAGTCCTGCAGGGGAAGGAAGCTTAGCCCTAAATTCCCCCACTCAAGCCAGTTTTAGGAATGTGCCAAGGATCTAGTTTATAAATCTTCTGGTGGAAGATCTACCCCTGACCTGCCTGGGGTTGGTAGCTAGGGTGCTGTGAGGAAATCCTTCCTCAGGGACAGCACTGCCCTCAGGTGGGGTTTGGTTCTGCTGGGACTGTCCCCCAGCCCTGGTAGTGCCACCAGAACACAGTAGGGCAGGCAGAGCCAGCTCCCTCCCAGCCTGAAAGGGGGGACAGAGACAGGGCGAACTGAGGGCCTGAGGAACCTCCCCTGCTCAATACCCCAGGAAAAGGAAATGGAAAAGGGAACTCAGTTGCATCTGTCTGCTTCCAAGCACCAGGAGAAAGGAAAGGCTGGCCAGGGATGCTTCCATACCTTCTCTTTATCACTTGCTTCCCTGGATACTGTTGAGCCCTAAGAAAGAAAAAAAAAAAAAAAAAAAAAAGAAAACATCATTACTGCACCCTGGGTCACACTCCCAATGGACCAACATTGAACCTCCATGCACAGCCCCCTTAGACCTGATTCCCTGAGCAGACCCCAAAGCCCCGGAACCCTGACAAGGGGGGTTCCAAGTCCAACCCCCAGAGTTCTGATACCTCAGGTTTTAGTTTTTATATTTTTCAGATTTTGTTATGCTTCAGTGTGTGGGTCTGTGCTCCATATTATGGGATGCTAAGCTCTCTTCACAGAGCAGGGAGACAAAAGAATTCCTTCTCCATTCTGTAACTCTGCCTGGCCTCTGCTGTAGGTCAGGCTCGATAAGGCCTCACCCCAGCCCCCCAGGGCCTCACCTTCAGGTCGTACTTCCTGTGCACGGTCAGCCTGTGGCTGAAGACGTTTCTGGTGACCACCATGTAGGTCTCCACGCCGTCCACGGTGAGCCGGTACATGCCCAGGAACTGGGGCAGCAGTGTGTTCCCATGGCACTCCACAATGAACTGGGGGACAGCAGGAAGGGACAGAGCTCTGTCACACAAAGCCCAGCTCTGATAGGACACAAACTTGCTGAGGTGCTGCAGCCAAGGCACCCACGGGAAAGGAAAGGAGGATTGGAACAGCTCCGGGGGTCTCCAGGAAAGGAGTGAGGATGTGAGAATCCCATTCCCTGAGCAAGATGGTCCAGGGAGTGCCAGCCTGCCCATGGCAGGGAGCTGGGACATCTCTAAGGCATTTCTCAATCCTGGGATTCTGTGACTCTGTGTATGGAGCTGGGAGATCTTCAAGGCTCCTCCCAATCCTGGGATCCTGTGACCCTGTGTGTGTCCAGCCTGCTGTGACAGGCAGGTGTTCACTGACATTGCCCAGCTTCACTTCTCGTGGTTACCTCGCTGTGCCTGGAACTCAAGGCCTGTTAAACACCCCCTGCTCGGAACCCCTGCAGAGCAGATGGGCTGGAAACCAGCACCTGGACCAGGACATTTCCAGCTGTCCCACTGTGACCCCACTTCCCTCCAGCCCCTCTGAAAGGTCTGAGGCAACAAATGAGGCTGCCTGTTTGCAGTTCTGATCTACCAGGGATCCATAATTTATTGACACAAGGGCCAGGATGAGCTGGGAAGGGGCTCAGCACCACAAACAGCTGCTGAGTTGTCCCTCAGACATTCGTCCCTCAGATTTTTGTCCCTCAGACCCTAAAGACCATTTTTCCCACAAAACCTGCGTTCAAGCTCTGCCAGCTGTGAATCCAAGCTTCGGACCCCCAGCAGATCCCCAAGTGCGCACGGGGGGCTCCAGACTCACCATACCTGGTGGTACTTCTTGAGGATGTTGTGCATCTCTGCCACGTCCTCGCTGGACACGGCCTTGATGACGAACCTCCTGTCGTAGGTGGTGAGGAAGCGCGCGCCGCAGCGGCCTTGGCTGTCGCTGTTCACCGGGGCGCTGCGTGTCACCGAGTTCTGGGGGACAGACATGGTGTGGGGATGGTGCCAGGAGCTTGTCACCTCCCTCAGCAGCAGGGTCAGCCCCACAGGAACCCCTGAGCAGCTCTGGGAAGCAGGGCCAGCCCCACAGGACCAGCTCAACCACCCACTCTGGCTGTGAACTCCAGATTTGGTGCTGCTGAGGGTAAAATCCAATTGTTTAAAAGTCTGGACGTACTTTTAGGGCTTCCAGATGGCCCCCTGATTTGCTGGCAGGTTTTACTCCAACACCTGGGGTGTGTTTTTGGAAGGTGTTTTTTACAGGTGTAGGATATATAGGCCAAGAGCTCTCAGCATTTCCTCTCAGGGATTTAAGAACAGTCAGGATATTCCTAAGGCTTAAGGAAAACCAGACCAAAACAAACTGAAATTCCCCTCAAAAAGCAGCTTAGTCTGGCCAAAATCTCAGTGTTTGGGGATTCTTCACAGGTCATCCTGCACCAAAAACCACCCTCAGGCTCCGCTATTCTTACTCCTGGACGTACAAGATGAGTATAAACAGCTTGGTTGTTCTTCTGACAACCAGCAGCATCTGCCTTTAGATCCCTGTCTCCACCCATAGCAACCAGACAGTGCAGCAGGGCTGGAAAATCCCAGGAAAACAGTAGAGCAGGGATCAATTCCCTGAGCCACAACACCAGGTCTTTGTTCTAATGCCTCTCCCCAGGTAGCGGGGCCTGCTGCGAGCTTCTCCCTCAGCCCCAGTCACTGCTGCTCACACCTCAAGCTGTCACCTGTCCCCTGTCTGTCCTCTCCACCTGCCCACAAGTCATTTTATCAACCAGCAACCTCTCACCAGCATTTCTTGTTGGGGAGGGCTATGAAACACAGCAGCACCAACACTGGTCCTTAAGTTTTCCAGCATTTCTGCGCTGGACATTGTGTTTCAGGCTGGATTATTTAGTTTTTTCAGGTGGCAGTGGCACTGCTGTGTCCCCCTCGCTCAGCTCTGGCAGCAGAGGGAGCCTGCAGCAGAGCCTGCTCTGAGAGAGAGATTTACCACGTCATGCTGCAAATGAGCCTAGAGGTTTCCTTTCAGAATGAAGCATTTAAAGCTTGTAAAACTTTAATGAAGCAGGGGAAAAACTCTGTTGCTGCCAAGAGCTTTAGAGAGCATCAGGAAAATAAAGGCAAACAGAAAAATCCCCTTTGCTGCTTGCTGACATTTGCAAAGGGGTCTGTGCCAGGCAGTTTAATCAGCCCTCATGTCAAAACCACAGAGCTTTTCTTCTGGAGCTGGGAAGCAGAAATCGTGACCACACAGAGCATTACCAAACTCACAGCCCTCAGCTCCCTTCCTGTCACTCCCCCTTTTCCCACAGTTGGGGTGTTAAGTTCAGCCTCCTGGCTCCGTTCCCACCCGAACCATCATACTTTACCCACCTGAATTTAGCTCAATTAACATTTTCTGTTCCAGCTGAACAGAAAACACTTTTAAAAAAGCCAAAGCAGCCCAGAGATGGGGGAAGCAATCCCTCAGAACAAGAGGGGGAGTGTAAATGATGAACTACAGAGAGTGTGGGTCAGACCTGGGGAGGGTGTCATCACAAAGGGCTGTGACACGGCACAGGGGGAGGCAGTGTGGGACCAGCCCTGCTCCAGCTGCTCTTTCCACCACGCAGGGAGCACGTGGAGGGAACAGGGAGGCTGCAGCACTCCCCCACATGCCTCTGCAGTCAGTGTTCCAGGGGATGCCCCTGGCACCGTTCCCGCTCTGTCACCACTTGCTGGGGACACTCCAGCTCCCTGACACCCAGCCTGCTCAGGGCTACGTGGCCACCACTGCCCTGCTGGCCCTGCTCCATGTGATCTCCCAGCCCTGAGCTGCCCCTGCTGCTCAGGGCTGGCCTCCCTGGCCCTGCTCTGGGTGATCTCCCAGCCCTGAGCTGCCTCTGCTCAGCTCCTTGTGCTCAGGGCTCAGAGCTGGCTGAGGAAGGGTGGCCCTGCTGCAGCAGCCAGAGTTGTGACATCCCCAGAGTCCTCAGAGCTGAGCCCAGCAGTGTTAACAGCAGACTCCTCTCCAAGAAAATCAGCGCCTCTGGCATTAGGGAATGGATCCCAAAGCACGAGCCACCTTGATACACCCAGTTCAACAACACATACTTGATTGAGGGCAGCAGATTCATCTGAATCTGTACAAACACTACAGACTCATTTTCCTTGCAGATATTCCAGGCTGGATCATTGTTATTCTCCACCTCCTGCCTGCCACCTGTGCCCCCATTTCATGCCTTGGGAGCAGGGATCACCATCTCCTCCTACTGCCCTGTGCTTGGCACAGCAAGATGCACTGCACTGCTGTGGTTCTGGTGGAACCACTCAAACACCAATTATAAATCCAGAAAAGCTGCTGGCAGCAACATATCAGCATGGTTTCTCTGCCAGGATGGCTGCTCTGTCCTAGAAGAGAAGAGAGGGTACCTGGTAGTCCTGGTCATCAATCCCAAATCTCTCCCGGAGGTTCCGGAACACCAGGGGACAATACTCCTTGAATTTGAAGCGGCTGGGCAGGTTCTCCCTAGGGCAGGGCAGAGATGTCAGCAGTGCCACCCAATGCCATGCTGGCTCCCCCTCGCTGCCAGCCCCCCAGGACACCCCAGCCTTGCCCTCGGCAGGGCAGCTCCTTGCTTTGGATGTCCACAAAACCCATCTCTCCCAGGGAACTCTGCAGGATCCTGGCTAACAGGGATGGGATGGGAGTGTGGAGCTCGTGTGGCTGCCAGGGCAACCCTGCCACAGGCAACTCTGAGGGAGCCATCCTGCTTGTGCCCTCCTCGTTGGGTCTGGCACACTGGCACACAGCTGTCCCTGTACATGCTGTCACCACTGTCACAGAGCTGTCCCAGCACACACTGTCCCGGCACACTAGGCAGAGCTGCGGGAGCAGAGGGACTGGGCTCTGGCTTCAGCTCCCACCACAGCACCAGAAGGGTCAAGGCCCCAGAGAGCAGCTCAGCCGCAGCACCCAGGAGAAGGGGATCAGCTCCAGCCTGGCTCTGCTGCCCCCAGGCACAGGACAGGGGACAATGACAGCATTCCCTGTCACTGAGGGAGCTACGTCTGCTCCTCCCACAGCCCTGAACCTGCACAGGGAGAGAAGCAGAGTTTGGTCCTGTTTGGACACAGTGGGAGAATTTGGCAGCTCCTTCTCAATGAGAAACCCAGGCAGTGACAGGTGGGGAGCTCAGATCTTCTCTGGAGGAGAAGGGAGACATCAGATCCTGCATGTTGGATGTGCCAGGAGAGACAAACTTCCCAATCACCTCCCACTCTGCAAAGCTGATCCCTGTGAAGCTTGGGGAAAATGAAGGATTAATCAGGGAACACTGCAGCCCTGCAGAGCAGGGATGGAGAGAGAACACAGCTCTGAGCACCAGCCACAACCACGATTTCAAAAAAGGTTCCAAAAATGGATTTTTTGGGAAAAGGAGACAGGGGCAACTCCAGAGAGACTCCATGAGCACAGCACAGCTACAGAGCTGCCTCCTGTGAACAGTTTAATCCCTCAAAGGATGCAAACCAACCACCACAGAGTATCTCAGTGACAGACTGACCACACCATGGCCTGTCCAGGGTCTGGGCAGGGTACAGGGCATGGATTCTCCTGGCCGTAGAGCTGGGAACAACCCAGAAGGCCTCCCCGAGGCCAGTTTGCCTCACAGCACAGAGCTCTGACCACAGAGAGGTTGGGAAGCTCCTACTTACTTGTTGAATAGATGATTGTCCACCTTAATCTTACTGTAGGCTTTAAAGTCATCGGGCATTAGCATGACGGGGACGGGAACATTGCTGAGCTCATTGATCTGCAAGAGAGAGGAAAGGGAGACTCAAACCCAGGTCCCACTGCCCTGGGGACCTGCAGGGATGTCCAACACCTCAGGGGATGGGTTTGGGGCACCGTGACCCATCAGACAGAAACAGCTGGGGAACACTGTGGTGACAGGCCACAGCAGCACCTCGTTCCACAACATGGTCAATCCTCCTGAGACAACCTTTCCCCCTCCACTGACCATCCAAGACACAGCTGAGAACCCAGACAAACCCACAGGCCAAGAACCAGCAGATTTTAAGTTTTAACTTAACCACCTCACTGAGAAAATATTCCAATTTTAATTATTCCTGCTACAAACCAGGATGACCAAAGCCTTTGCTGCAGCTCAGCACAGCTCTCCGTGGATGCTGTTTCCATGCTGGCTGTCTCCTGTTGCTTTCATCCCACCTTCTCTGGAGGGATGAGTCACTCACTAGATTGTTTTTGCTCCTTAGTCATGTGTGGCAGCCACAGGAACACGGGGTAGCAGAAGAATGAATGCTCAGCTACTATTGTACAAGCGGGCTCATGCTGCAGCACACAGTAGTGCCAGCATTAATAATAATAATAACAACATAATAATAATAAAGATCCACCTCTGGACTGTGTCTGGCTGCCCTGCTCCAGTCACTGACAAGACTATGCCAGAATCAAGAAGTTTCTGAGCTGCCTTTTCTGAAGATAGCCTAGTGCCACCTCCCCCAGGGACTCCCCACAGCCCCATCTCACTGAACTCACGTTAACAGCCTGGATTCAGGAAACAATTCCATTCCAGCTCTGTTCCCATGACTGCTGTGCCAAGCAGGTAGTGCAGGAGAGGGAGGCAGACAACGCTGGCACCAGCAGGGGTTGGCTCCAAGTCAGCTCTGGGGGCTGTTCCCAGCACCAAAACCTCCAGCAGATCAAGTGACTCCCAGCACACTGGGAAAGTTGCTGGAAAACTTCCCTGCTGGCTGGGAGCAGGGGCCAGGCTCAGGAAAGGGATCCAGCCCTGGGATTCCCCGCTCCCTGCGTGCAGCAGGACACACAGCACTGCCCAAAGTGCTGCCACATCCCTGCTGGGCTCCACAGGGTTCAGTCCCGGGGACGTGCCATGAGCCAATTCCATGCAGCCCATATTTATCCCACCCTTTCTCCATCGTTACCACGAAAATCCAGACCAGATTTAACACACGTCAGACTGGGAAGAAAGACACATCCCAGTGACAGGAGGGAAGGTGGCTATTTTCAGAGCCAGCCATCCCACACAACAGACAAGAAGCGGGAAGCGAAGCGGCCACGGCTCCTGGAGGGAGCGGAGCTGCAGCTCTGCAGAGCCCTGCTCTGCAAAGCCCTGCTCTGTAGCACACAGCTGATGCCTTAAGGGTTTATGTTTTTCAGATCCTGTGCTAGATTGGGGTATGATTCTGAACTCCCTACAGAGTGTAAGCTCTCATCACAGTTTGATAGGATAAAACAATCCTTCCAGGCCTGAGAACCAAAGCCACCATCACAGCCTCAGGCCTGAAAAGTATGAACGGGAATTAATGGGAGAGGGGGAGAGCAAACTGGGGGACTGTGACTTCATTACCTGAAGCTGTAACTGGATAATTAACCCCTGATATCCTGAAGAACTCCTGACTGTCATCCATCTCAGGTGTAGCCTCTGCACTGCCCAAGGTGTATCTGTAAAAGCCTTTAATAAATACCTACTTTATTCTCCAACTCTGTCTAGCCTCTGTTCTAGGTATCCAGCCCAAGGCATCACAGCGCTGCCACAAACCCTGTGGGATGTATGGAATAGGTTGCACAGACGAATGAATGAATAAATAATGGCACATATCCCTCACCGGCAGCATCCCCGAGCAGGGAGAGCCCGACGCCTCCCCGGGTTTGGCTCAATCCTGCACGGAGCCAACCCCTAAGCCAGAGGGGAGGGAAAAGGGAACAGACTCCAGGTGAGGAAGGGATCTCCCAGCTCGCAGCCACTGCAGGGAGCTGCATCAGAGTCCCACGCAGAGATTTCCCCTCGGGGAGAGGAGAAAACAACTCATTCTGCACTGAGACAGAGGCGCTGCCTCCAGCCACTAATTATTGCTGTCTGCCAGGAGGGGAAGCTTGACAGCTCCTGCCACACGCCTGCTCCCAACCCAGCCTGCTCCCAGCCCTCTTCCCGCCGTGGGGAAGGCACAAACAAGCCATTATCAGCTCCTTGCTGAGCGGAGGAAGGGTGCTGACGACTGAGAGGGAACAGCGATTCGGAGGCTGCCTCCTCGCTGGCAGCAATTCAGACACAAATGTCCTGAGGCCTCGCTGGGTGCCCTCGTTTCTGCAACGGCATAAACCTCAAAGCGAGTGTGGGACCTGTTTCGAGGCTCCTGAGTGGCAGAAATGGTGCACGAGGATAGCTCTGAATCGTTTCAGAGGTGCCATCACTCCTCACAAGACAAGAGAGCCCCAAAAATCCTCCCTGTGGAAGCCTTTCCCCCTTTCCAGCAGAGCTGGCTGGATGCTTTGGGATCCGGCTTTGGAGGAGACAGGGAAAAGGAAGGGGGGTGTGCTGGGCACCAAGATGTGGGTGAAGGGCTGGACTGCTCATTTTTAGACCCAGCACTCCCCACCTACCCTCCCCAATGTTAGCTCTGGGCCACTGGTCACTGGGCCTCTGCTCCTGGCACCAGTCTGGAAGAAAACACAGATTTATTTAGTTTAGTTTTGTTGCTCCGTCAGGTTTTTTAAATTTAAATTTTTTGTTGTTTCAGCACTGTGTGCTCCCACAGCAACACCCATGCCTGACACTTTCCCAAAGGAGAGGAACAAAAAGCCCCCACACACCTCGGGAAAGGGATATCCCAACCCCTCCCTTCTCACAGCACAAGCCTCAGCATCCAGCCCCCTTCCCAAGGATTATCCAGCCAAATCCTGAAACACCAGGAGTCCTTCCCAAAGGAAAGCCTGGCCAGCAGCACCTATCACCTCTCCAGAGGGATCCTCTCCTCAGGTTCATCCTGGGGGAATCTGAGCAGCCTCCTGGAGGGAGCAACGTGACAAACACCAGGCACATGTTTGCTCTCTCACCTTCTCTCTGGGGAGAGGCGTGGAGCAGCAAATTATATATAGCAGAGTGTGTGTGAGTGTGTGTCCCGGGGTATTTATGCTCCAGGAGGCAAGGTCACAGCAAGGTGCATGGCAGGGAGGTGCTCAGCTCCTGGGGAGCACATTCCCAGGGATCTGTGGCCAAAAAGAGGAAGAACTCTGCCTCGAGCAGGATCTCTGGGGCTGTGGTTACCAGGGAGATGCTGGGTGTGGTTCTGGAGGAGACAGGGACAGAGGGCAGAGATGCAGCAGCACCACAAACATACATGGACCCTGACAGGCTGTATTGGGCATCACAGACACTGCAAGGCGCAGGAGCAGCAGGCTGTACCGCACCTCTACCACATCACAGGTCCCCAAAGTGTGGACAGAATGGGTCCTGATCTGCTCTTAAACCCACTTCACTTTGTGGCCCAGCAGCACCACTCAGGATTCTAGGCTGAAGATTTCTCTTCAGCACCAAAGCCAACTCCTTTCCCAATAAAAGCCACATCAATATTCTGTGTCATTCAGGGACAGCTGTTGGGAGGAACGGGCCAGGCATAATTTTGTTTCAAAACCTGACTGTAGCCTCAAAGCGGCAATTAGCATTAGTAAATTGATGGGAAAATGCGATTTGTTTACTAACAAGATGCAGCTGATGGAGTGTGTGAGCCCACTCTGAGGGATTCTCAGCAACAGGAATTTGCTCAGGAAAATAAAGATACTTTGTTCCCCTCAAAGCTTTCCTATTAGGCATCTTGGTAAGTATTAGTTAAACTTTTTTATGCACTGTGGAAGGAGGTGAAAGACACATGGGAAAATCACTTTAGCACAGAGACAAACCCACAGCTGTGGCAAAACTTCGCTGCTGCTTAGCACAGAGCAAAAAAACCCTGTTTTCCATGACTTAGAGCATGATTAATCAGTATCCATGCTAACAACCCACTGTGCAAAGGGAGGGAAGAGTGAATCTTGCAGTCAGTAATTCCTCTGGGGACACCAGGATGCTTTAAGATGGAAAAAAAAAAGCATTCCCTGGTGAGAGCAAACCCATGTATTCCTGAAAAAAAAAGTACTTGGAAAGCTGCTGGAAAGGATTCCTGGCTGCATGACAGGGATCAGGCAGTGCCACTCTCCTGTCCCCAGTCCTGTCAGCCTCAGGGTCACTGGGAAGCATCCATGCTCCCAGTTCTCTCACAGGTGGGCAGAGCTGATGCATCCCTCGGTCCAAAAAAGGTGAGAAATGGGAAAATTCAACAACCAACCCATGGTCGTGGCAGTCAGCAGAAATGAGCCCTGTTCTCCTCACTGAACCACCCAGGAAAATCCTCCTTTGTCTCCCAAAAAGGAAAAGGGCTCCTGCAATGGGGATTTGAACAGGAAAGGGCTCCTGAATGAGCAGTTGGCAGCCAGGCCCTCGGTCATTCCAGGGGCTGGCACAGTCCTGGCCATATGCTGCTCTTTTCAGAGGTCAATTAGAGCTAGGCTGGGAAGGGAGAGATCCAGGCTGTTCCCACCATGCCAGGAGCAATTTCTGGGATCTGAGTGTTTGATATGTGGCAGATGCTGCTCTGGCAGCACGGAAGGCAAGGCTGCAAAGCAGGGAGCGCCATGCTCCACTCCCAGCACTGCTGTTTCCCTGGAATACTAACGAGCTCTGCTCCTGCTGGCAGTGCTCCTGAGGGCCTGGGAGATGGCTGCTGCTCCAGCCAGGAACTAGAGCCTCTGGAGCTGCCTCGAGCAAAATCCATGCAGCCAACAGATCTCCCCGTTCCCACAAGAACGGGACGTTTGTGCCTTTCCCCTGCCAGAGCCAGTGGAATCTTTTCCAGCTTAGGAATTGGCAGCCCTACAGACACAGATCCCAAACACCTCCTTGGGATCCCAGAGCCTTCCATCCCTACAGACACAGATCCTCAATCCCCTCGCTGGGAT